GGAGAAGTCAAGAAAGGTTCTGTAAAGGGAGATGCACGTGAGCTGCGTTTGAGATGGAGTATGAATTTCGCAAGCCGGTGGAGGAGTAATACACACATGCCCCAGCCTGGCTGGACCCTCCTGTCTGTTGTAACCAGCCAGACGTGCTGGGCAGGTTACTTCCCCTCTCAGAGGCTATGTTCTTCCTATGTTAATACCGTCTATGGGATTTCTGCCAACATTCAGTAAGACAGCAGGTCAAAGGCCTCCCATCAAACCCCACGATGGCACAGGTACAGGGTTAGAATAGTGCTGCATGGGTAAGATCTCAGACAGGAGAGAACCTGGTTGCTATGGGAGCCACACACAATCAGGCTTTTGGGGGTACCCAAGAGGGGACATCAATGAATGGTGTCCTTTTCCCCACCGGGGTTCAGAAATTTGGAGAGAAATTTTTAAAAGTTAATTATGGGCACCTTTGAAAGGTAATGGCTCAACTGAATAAGCATGGAACAAGGAAAACAGAACCGGAAAATACCACTGAACAGATCCAGCCATGGCAGCCTCACGAACAGGGAAGATTCAGAACGTGGAGCAACTGAGGAAAACCCTGACTTGCTCCTAGCCAGAGAAAGGGAGAGCAAACCGGAAGTTGCCCAGTTGGTCTTTCCCAGTTTATCAATGAGGGAATCCCAGGGGCAGCATGAGTAAAGGGCGGAGGATCTTTGGTATGGGTTAGCAAACCAGTTGCCTGTGGCAGCGGGACCTGAGTAGCGCTGCCCTCTAACAAAGACTTGCTAGGACATGGGGACCCGGAAGTGGCTGACATTCTGTGAAAGGAAAGGGTTAGGAGACAAAGAAGGGGCAGGACTGACAGGCAAGGGCCAGACCATGGACAGCCATACACGGCAGGCAAGGCAAAGGACGGATGGCGAATGGCCACAGAGAGGAAAGGACGGCTGCGTGACCAGGACTATCAATCACGAGATGGCTACAAAGGGTGACAAGTGTGGCTGGTGTTGCAGAGCACACGTATATGATGACCCAGAGCCCCGTGCTCACAGCATGAGAGGAGGCTGATGGTATAGCTTTGCCAAGTCCTCAGGAAGCTGAGGATTCTGGCCCAGAAGTGAGGCCTGGGAAGGAACAATCTCAGCAGCAGTTTCCATGGGTTCAGGAACTGCACGGCACTGTCAGTTCCGAGGAGATGGCAAGTTTGAATAAGAGAATGAAAGACCCGCAGGGATAAGAGGATACAGTAGCTAGTTGCAGTTTCAGATGTATTTCTGAGATGGGGATTTGGGGTGATAACAAAAGCAAAGGGGTGAGCCTGTGAATGGGCGGCTCAAGAGGAATAGCGGTACATGTCATTGTCACAATAGCTGAGGAGGTCAGGGATTCTAGAGAGGGTCACATGAAAGGATGAGGCTATGTAAAAGTTAACAGAGAACAGAAATTTTACATCTTTGACAAATAGGACTGGGTCGATTAAAGTAGCCACATACAAAGGAACCAAAAAATGAAGACATCACAACTCTCAAAATAGCAACACCACTACCACCAAAAAAAAAAAAAAAAAGATTGAGAATAACTCACCCAGTTTATGATGGAGACCATACACAATCAAGATATTTATAATTGTGTCAAGATAAGGCCTTGTGACAATTATAGAGTGAAGGTCTTTTTTTTCCTTCTAAAAAACAATGTGCTGGCTACAAATCTGTATAGTAAACCTTCACAAACTATGTCATCTTCAATAATTAGCTTAATTCTAATTTCCCTGTGATACTTCCTGTCCCTGCAAAACCACATCAAGCAGACAAGTGTCTCCTCCTATGCTGCGGACCCACAGGCTCCTGCAGAGGTGCATCTGTAACCCAGGCAGCAGCCAGGCTGTGAGACTGTGAGAGCAACGGAATCTGCTCTGTAGCCACAGAAACAGATGGCATCAATCACATCAGCTGATATTTGTGATTACTACTATTATTTGCCGTAATTGCCCTTCTGAGATCTGCTCATCTGCATCATGCTAAGATTTGTAATTAGCCAATGAAAGATCTGGAGCTGAGCTAGCTTAAAAAAATCCAGGCCTATGTGATGCAATGTATACATAGCAATTCTGTCTCATAATGCTGAATATACAGATGAGATTTTTTTGAAGAGATTCCTTTTCAAAGTCAGACGAAATGCATTCGTTTCTGTTGTGGCATTCAGTCATCTTGGATGACTCTACAAATGCGCTGTGGATTAAAAAAAAAAAAAAAAAAAAAGGAGAGAAACAGGGACAAAGCAGTTCTCTCAAGTCACGAGGCTTGGGCTTAGCCATGGGTTTGCTGCCAGGAAGAATCCTTGAGAAAGCCAACCTTCATTGTAGGCACCTAGAAGTAAAGAGTTCTGAAAGCAGATCTTCTTCCCCCTTTACTTTTCCTTGTCAAGATACATAATTCAAGTGAGCCCACTGGTTAACTAGGACAGGCCCGACCTTGAGTTCGGAGAGCTTTCTAATGCGTCCCACCTGCCTTCCGGAAGAACAAAGTTTCCAGAATACAGCGACAGCAAAGAAGCCTGGGGCAAGGAGAAGGGCCAGCGCTTGGCAGGAATGGCCTGTCATGGAAGGCCAGCCCAACACCGAAAGCACCGTTACTCTCAAGAGATAATGCCTGATGCCGCCGTGCTTTCCTCTCTCTCCCTCCCCACCCCATTCTCTTTGTCTGGAGAAACCCAGAACTGTGAGGACACGAAGCTGTCAGCCCCTGAGGCGCTTTGTAATCTGGTCCCGTCTCACCTCTCCCAGTTTGGCACTCAATGGATCCTCCTCACCCAGCAGAGCGAACATCTCATTGCCTCACCTTCCGGTCCTCTGCTACCACAGGCAGGTCCTCACAAGCACACGCTGCCTCTACTCACACTGCTGCCCCAGCTGCAGAAGTTTGTCCCCCGCAGACTGTCGAATCCTTCAAGGTCCAGTTCTCCTCTCTGAACGTGTCCTTTCCTACTTATTCCTCCCACTTACTGTCAAACGGGACAGGAAACAAGATCCCGTGCTGAACATCATCTGCTACTGCACCAGAGTGATAGCTGCAAGGTTCCAAAGCGACTTCCGCACTCCAGGCACGGTGTTAGCCATGACCCTGCGATGGGACGGAGGGGACGACTCCGAGTGTGTCCAGTGTGTGCCAACCCTGGCCGGTCATTAGCGCAGTGGTTCAGGGTGGGACTTAGGATCTAATGGTACCCACTTAGGTAGCTCTGTGGTTTTATGCCAGCTCTGATAAGATTTTCAGAGTGTAAAAGGAAGGCTGGTGCAGCTCTCCACAGAAAGGACAATGAGGTCAGACAACTGGTCTCCCCCACCACCACGGCACCAGAAAGGAACACAGTACTACACCCCAAGCCCTTTTTTATGTTTTCTTTTGAGACAACGTCTTGTAGATTTGCCCAAGCTTGCCTTAAACCTGCCATCCTCCTGCCTCAGTAGCTGAAATGATGTACACCCAGCCACAATCGGTCGTTCTTGAGTGATCTCTTAAGCTGGCCTGGCCTTCCTTCTCGGTGCTGGTTTCACAGGCCCCCAGAAGACGATGTGAAGAACACCCCAGGAGTGATGAACTTCCTAGTGCATCTCATACCCGTGTGTCCTATATACACCCGTTACTCATCCGTTTGCAATTGAAGACATTCCTTCCTTCGCACAAATGCCATTCCCCAGCTTCCACGGCACTTCCTTCTCAATACGGACAGGAAGAGGCCGAGTGCCGGCTAGGACCTCGGGCAATACGCATCCAATCACAACCCAGGTTAACAACGGCCCTGGTTAGAAACTGCTCAGGCCCTGCCAGTCGCCGGGCGAGCCATCCCCAGGCAAGTCATCCCCAGGCAAGTTCTGGGCTTTCCAGCCCTCGGCCTCCCCACGGTACCAAGTGGTCCTGGCACCCGCGGGACCGCTGCACGAGGTGCCCAGGGCAGCACGCGACACGGGTGAGTACTCACTCCGCGCTGGCTTTCAGAGTTTTATTTTCCCCTTTCCTCTGATGGTTTGGAAATACCTCCCCGATAGTGTCACAGCCCCGATGGAATCGTGGACCTCAGACTGATACTGCTCTTAACCTCTGAAGCTCATTCTAAGCGCAGGACCCCAAGAAGCTTGCCCCGGGACGGCGGCCCTGCGAGGCGGCCTGGCGCTGCTGGACGGCGGCTGTCCTCGAGTGACGCGCTGCGGCCTCCCTCTCCTCCCTCCCGCCTCCCGCTCCCTCGTGTGCGTGACGACAGCACGCGGAACCCAGGCTGGCGTCCGTCCGCGAGCCGCCGACGCCCCCTCCCCACGCGCGCGGCCGAGCGACGGTGGGCGGGCTTCCCGCGAGACCCGCGGGCGAAGGTTCCGCCGCCCCACCCGGTGGTTTGATTGGTTCTTTTGCTGTCCCTAAGAAGGGAGTAGCAAGGCCTGCCTCCGTTCCCGCGGATAGAAACGTGAGCGGTTCTGCGGGCTCCGCGCTCCCAGGCCCGCTCCCGCGGGGGGCTGGGGAGCCGCCCCACCATCCCCAGCTCCCGCCCTGTGCAACTGCGGACGAGCCGGGAGCGGGAGCCGCGTTCCGCCCTGGCGCTTCTTCCTCCGCCCCGCCCGAGCGCGCTGAGCCCCCCGCAGTACGGGGTCAGAGCCCGCCGGGCCGTCCCCAGGGCGGGAGGAAGGGGCAGAGCGTGAGCGTGTATGCGTGCATGTGTGTGCGCGCGCGTGCTTGTGTGTGTGCTGCGTGTGTGCGCGCGTGTGTACATGTGTGCGCGAGCGTATGTGTGTGCATGTGCGCGAGCGCGCGCGTGTGGCATGGGGGCGGGTGTTCCACGTGCACTGCCTTCCAAGGGAAGGAGGCCCCGGGCGCCCGCTGTCCTGGCGGGAGTCGCCCGGGCCCGGCGAGCTCTCTCCAGAGCTAGCAGTGTCCAGGGACTCCCGCCGTAGCCCGCAGCAAGGACAGCGGCCCGGAGCGCGGGGCGGGGGTAGGCAGCCCGCCGGCCGCCCGCGCAGGCCCAGGTGCGGCTGAGCCCCGCCCCACGTCCCGCGGGAGAGGCGGAGGCAGCCGTGACCCGCCCAGGGTCACTCACCGCGCTCGGGACGGAAATAGCTCCGACGCCTCCTCCCGGGCCTGGCAGAGGCGACGTTGCCCTATTACCGCGCGATCATTCAAGTCTGAATCACTTAAACGCCCCTAATTGCAGACCTGTGGGGAACTGTAACCACCGTGTGACTCTAACTGCCAGCGAGCCCAGGTACGAGTGACCACGGTTTTACAGATGCCTGAACGTGGAATTAAACGCTGGGGCGAGGCGTGCTTGAAGATGACTTTAACACGGCCCAGGAACGTAGATTTTTAAGACCTGAATTTGAGCGATCACCCCCCACCTGTGATCCTGGACGGCGCCCCACTTGGGGTTCAATAGACGCCGCCGGAAAAGGCACCGGCTGAACCTCAGATACGTCTAAGCAGTGACTCTTCACACCTACTCTCCTTTCTGTGCCCACGCAAGCGCTGTCTTGCTTCTGTGTTTAAATCTGCCTTTTCACTCCTATGTCGGCACCCGTGAGAGCTGGGGAGGGCCTGGGAAACCCTTGGGCTGATAAACGCAGATCTTCTCATGGGGCTGGACACGTGCTGTGCTCGGAAAAGAAAGTAAATTCCGTACAGCAAATTGCTCTAACTGATTCATGTGTCCTCAGAGCGACTCCGCCTACCTGCTCGCAGGTATCCAGGTAAATGACAAGTGGGCGGGGCCGACTGACTGCTTCAATCGCTAAGGTCTCAGCAATGCTTTATCTGGCCGGGCTTCCGTGCGGTCACGCATTTCCTGCTGCGGGCAGCCAATGCCCTTGTCCCTCCAGGCCCTTGTCCACCGAGCTGGCTTCTAGTCACTGCTGAGGTTGCCTAACAGTCTGCTTCGTTCAGCCACAAGGGATGAGAGCTGCCTGGTTGATGCTGCTTTGAGAGCCCTAGAGACCCTTGGAAAGGTGAGCTGAACTCCATTTTCCTCTGGGCATTTAGGCCCCTGGCCCCTGAGGGATGGATCGAGGAATCTGAATGAGAAATACAAGCCGAAGGGCTCAGCCCTCTGAAAAACTCTTTGGCGGAGGAAGGGTAGAGGATGTCTTTGACATTCTAGTTGTACAATGAAGTTCTCCCAGGCCAGATATTTAATCCTTTTTGTTTCTCCTAATTGTTAATCCAGCCTCTGCTTGTTGAGAAAGTTGATCTGATTTTGTGAAACGCTGGAAAGGAGAGAAGCGGGGAGCTTTTGAAATGTACCGCAAAGAGGTGGACCTGTTCAGCCTGTTTAATGGGCCCTGAGGGCTAACAGGGTTCAGAGTTGTCTTGCGTTTGCCTGCTGTGCTTTTGGTTTTGTTTGGGCCTTGTTTTGCCTCCCTTGTACCTGCTCGTCTCACCAGGGATGATTTTGACCAAAGCCTGCGCAACATTCAGTACTTTTTCTTCAGAAAACCTGTTCCTCACACAGGTAAATCCTGTTGCCTGTTCAGGATGCGCCCCCCACCCCCGCCCAGTTCTCCTCCCTCTCTCATCTCTGAAAAAGTCTACATTTCCTTTGCTCTTCGTTGAGCACCCTTTCACAAACATTTTGCCGCCTAGATTGGAATTGTTTACTGTCAGGCCCGGTCTGGCTGCCTGACGACCTTTGGTTAAAGCAAAGACGACTCCTTCAAGGCCACGGGGTGTAACTACACGCGGTTACATTTTCGAACTCTAATTTTCTAAAACTCTTTCGGTCTCCTGTTAAGAGCAAATGTACCAAAGAGATTGTTCTGCCAAGACATGATCTGCGATTGTACCTGTCAGACCCATTTTTGTTTTCTTTATCTTGACCACCCAGCCTGGGCTCCTTGTGTTCCTAACAAGCCAGCAGCCACAACCCCTCGTTAGCAAGGCGGGGGGTTGGAGGGGATCATATTCCCTACTAGGCCGAACTGGAAAACCTGACAAGAAAAATAAAATGGTGAGGCAATTTAGTCTGAGTTCTTTCATCAGCTGTTTTCTTGTTCTGAGATTTAAATTAGCAGTTAAGTTTGTAAGGGAACAGTCTGTTAAGAATTATGTTCCTATTTATCCACCTAAAATCTCAAACTACTAAGAGTATGAATTAAAACAAGCCAAGGAAACTTTTGCCTTAGACAAAAAGTTCTTTCTTACCAATAAAAAGCTGCCTTCCTCTTGTTGCCAGTTTTTCTCTTCTGGGAAGCTCGTGATGTTCTCCTTTGAGTAACCTTTGTGTTTATATTTTCTCCTGAGCTTATGTTTTTGGGGGATGTGACTGCTGCTTATACCTTAATACCATTCTCACTTGATTCAAAGCTTTGTCAGAGAGAAAGACCTGGATACGGTCTTTCAGAAAGACCTGAATCTTTTTTTCAGAATCTTTTTTCTTTTTTTCAGAAAGACCTGAATCACCTGGATAAAAATCTGTCTGTAGAGTCCAGACTTATTCACAAGATTGTGTTCTCTGTGGGTTACTATGAGCTGATTAGTTCCTTTCATAACAGTTAATTGATGATTACATAAATTTAATGTGTTGAAAGAACAAAGCTGTGGACCTTATACCCCGCAATATAAGAAAAAAAATCCCTCCGGCTAGGATTCAGAGTGAAAATGTCTAGAGCGCAGTTGGTTTGTTGGATGACTTGCCTGTGGGTGCCACCCACGGTGCCTGTGGTAACTCCATGCCCGGGTTCTAGTGGACATAAGAGCTAAAGGAAAACTGTAGAATCTCTTCCACTCATATCCTTGAGCTTCTGTGACCCTCAGTGACTTCATCAGCAGGGCAAGAGTTAGTAACGCTTGTAATGTAACGTGGTCATGAGAGGTAAAGGAGCTCCCTAACATATGCAGTGTCAGGTAGCCAGTGCCTGATGCCAGTGCAGGGCCAGGTACAGTCCAGAGCAGTCTTCTGTGATGGAACCTCCGCGGGCGCTTGGAGGATGTGGTCTGAGCCGATGGAGATAGAAGAGCTGTGGCTGCATGTGTTGGAACCTTGCTTGTTCTTGCGCTTGAAATATACCAGCAGTTTGGAAAAAGAAAACAGGAGGAAGGAGAAATGCTTAAAGGGTGTGACGTCATTAAATGTCCAGGCAGCCAGGTCCCCACTGCCTTGCAGGCAAAGCCTCTGGGAAGCTGAATATTCCTTCCTCCCTACTCCAGGCACCGCAGAGCCAGAGGCCTTCAGGGGAATGTCCTGTTATTTGTGGTAATCTGACTTGGCAGGCGGCCCCGTTTCCAGTTCTTCTATCTCCAGGGTGCAATGGGGACCTGGTCGCTCCAGTCTTACCCATAGGGCCTGCTTTACCCCCGCCTGGCGTGCAGATGGTCAGGTCGCCGGCAGGGATGCGGTTAGTCTGGGTCCTGCACTGTACCCCGGAAGGGCGGCTCATGGGCCTGTTCAGTATGGTGCCCTACTTAGCAGAATATCTTATGCCATTCCATGACCTTGACTCACTAGGTAAAAGCAGGTGTGTTTGTAGGCCCCTGGCAGCTTCTTCTGGTCTCATCCTGTCCCCAAGAGATAACACAAGTTTTCACCATTCAAGAGCCAGCGACTAATGGATTGAGGACAATGGGTTCTAACCTGAAACCTACTGCTAGCTCGTCTAGGGCACTCTGGGAGACAACGTCAGCCTCCCCGCCCAGCCCCTTAGTGTCCTTGTCTACATCCCCACCCAGCCCTCAAAGCATGCTAAAAAGGCAGGCGTCACGACTCGCCTCTGCCCTTGCAGCAGATGCTGGATGGGGTGCCCACCGAGGTGAGTGGCTCAGACTGGACTAGGCGGGCGGTGCCTCCCTAGGAAATTCTAACCTTAGCCACTGAGTTCTAGGTGGTGCGGTGCTGCTGCTCTAGAACAGTGATCTGGCCTCTGCCAGCCAGCTACCTGGGTTCAAAACTCAGTTCCACCAGACGCTTCCTGTGTGCCCTGGAGCAGGGTCTTTAACCCACTTTACTCAGCGCTTCACTAGGATTGTCGTGAAGACGAAATGAGCTGAAATATGTAAAATGTGTAGGCAGGTGACGTGGCACACACACAGTTAGTGGTATTTTCTGAAGGGAAGGCATGATGAATGCAGGAGGCTGATCCGGTTTGACGCCCCGCTCTGCCGTGTAATCGCAAGCCTGCAGAAGTTGCTTAAAATCGCTTTGCTTCAGTTAGGTTATCTGGAAATTGGAATACTTTCCCAGCTCAGCGCTGTTGTGACTAGCAAGTAAGTCGGATGAATGTGAAGTGGCGGGCAGATGAGAAGTGTTCAGTAAGCGTTAACTCGTGTTATCCCAGGAAAACTGTTACGTCGTCTATAGGTGGACTCTTCCGTTATACAGCAGCCTGGATGTAATGATGGGAGCAGTAGTGGGTGGAGGGCGGAAGACTGAACAGAACAGATCTCCAGAAGGCTAGGAGAGAAACTTGCTGACCCCGACGACCTTGTTTATCTGGGCCTTCCAGGCCCGGGTAGCTGCCTGGGCGGCTCCTGGCGTGTCCAGAGCACGTGGGCGGTGGGCGTCTGTGCTGTGAGGGACACAGACCCTCTTGGAGCTGCAGTTCCAGCTTCACGCTTCAGTCTCCTCTCCTCCCTCGCCTCAGCCACAATCTCCTCTTCACATTTGAACTCCCCCCGTAAGGTGGAGAAAGTCAGTGGCCTTCTGGGATCTGGGCCACTTGGAAGGCTCTCTGTAAGGTGCTGCCAGGACGGGACAGGGAGGCTCTCGCACGGGTCTCCCTCACTGCCTGGGCGCTCCCGGACTTCTCGGCATTACGGAACTACTCTTAGTGTTTATGTGTTGGTGTTGCGTAGACTCGCTTTTATGTGGGCGGCAAATTTTATTGTCCTCTGACCGCCTTCAAGCTATCAAGGGCTTTACAAAACTATTCGGAGGGAAGACTGTGTCACTGTTGCGGTGTTAATGAGATTTAACCATCTACCGTCCCCAAAGGATGGGTATTGACGTGAAAACCGTGGAAGTTGCCAAGCGCAGAAGACTGCACTGAGCGCAAATCAGGAACAACACAGATTGCGGGGATCTCCCCCAGACTTCCTACACTTGCCGTGTTTTCGTATCTCATTACTTCCTGCGTGACACAGGACACCACAGGTAGTTAGGTACTGAGAGGCACACTTCAGATTGACATGAGGGAGAACTTCCCACCAATCAGAGTTACCCATATGCACAGGAGGCTGCCCACTGTGTTGATGAGCTGCTCGTTACTGATGTGGCTATTTTTTGGTATATTTTTTGCCTGCTATGTGTTTACCACGTGGATAGACGGGTCGATGGGTGGTGGGTGAATGAGTGAATGAATAAATGACAAGGGTATTTGTGTTTTTTCAGCAGCACATACATTCATCTGTAAAATGAGGGTTATATGGTTGATCTCATAGGATTGTTTTAGAGATTAAATGCACGTCAAATACCCACCATACTATCTTGCAAGTAACAAAGTGCTCATTGAAAGTAACAATTGTTATTTTTATTTTATGTTATATTCTAAAAAGGAAATGAGAAAAAGAATTCCTGCTCCAGACAGAAGGAGGTTAAGAAGCTTAGAGGTTAGGTCCGGATGAGCTAACCTCCAGACTTGAGATCTGCAGCTTCCACGACAGTTCCTTTTTCCTATGCCCTACGTCCTGCCCACCTTCCTCTACCCTTCCGAAAGAACTCGTTGTCCCTACCCAGAGAGCCACAGGCCCTAACATGCCGGGTTGACTCGTACACCGCTCACGGTGACCACAGCTTCTCTCCCATGCGATGGGGACCTGATTTCTTACCATCGAGAGCAGGACTTGCAACACGCACACATAAAGTCCACCATCACCTCTCTCTGCTTCTGCATTCGATCATTTGTCACAGGAGCACAAAAGCCTTCACCAGCAGCAGAGTGGAAACCTTCCAAGAATTTTCTTTAATAGCCTCTTGGCACAGGGCACGGCAACCGTGCAGTGCGTGATGGTGAGGTCT